AAAAAGCAGATTTTTTACTGAAAGCAATCTTATCTACAATCGCCATGCAAGAAAGGTTAAAAATGAATGTTTTTGTTTTGTTATAAACTGCTTTTACTTTGTTATTATATTTTGTAAATTTGTGTTGTTGAATTTTAGGGTTTATCTTTTTTCTTTGTACAGGGCAGCTTGGAAGACAATTTCTGTATATATATAGTTGATAGCTTTACCCCGTGTGTTTAAAATGAAATGAAAAAAATGAAATATATCTTTTACAACTTCTATTCTTTAGATCAGTTCGTTATAGCCCTGTTTTAAGAACAAATGAAAAAATTGGACTTCAATTTCATGATACACAAATTTTCAACTTACAAAATACGATCCGCTCAACGCGAAATAGAGCTTGAAGCAAGTTATTCCTGTTCCTTTTTCTGCGTGTCTTTGCCATGCTTGGATCTGTTTTTCCGCTTTGGCAAAAGTTTCCAAGAAGCAAATGTCACCAGCCGCCTCGTTTTCAAGGGTGGTTGGTTGAGCAGCTTTTTACGCATGCGCGTTCACCGACTGTTTCAAGTGAGGTCGTGTTGGAGTTCAGAGCAAGTCAATAAGTTGTAACTAAATTTAAAAGTTCTTCAATATGTCAGGCGCAATGAGACAAGCTTTTCAACGACTTGTGTCAATTCCAACTAGAGCATCTACGAGGCAGATGTCGGGAGCTCCAAATCAACTTGAAGGGGGCAGAAAGCCACACGTAAGTGCCAAATATAAAACAGTCAAGGCTTCTTCGATCGTTACAGAGACTAATCTTGCCATAGATTTGTTCATAAATCCAACAATGCATTATCTCCAAAATAAGGAACTCTCGGGTTTAAAAATTAGATGTAAAGTAATTTTGTGTGAAATTAGGTAGATGTAGAGCTTTTTCTTGTCATCTATGAAGAGAGTCCTACTGTCTAGGCTTGCCATCGGCATGCAGAGTTTATCCTTGCCACATCCAATATTTGTCCCTAAAATGAGGGTGCACACCTAAGACTTCTTGTGCAATAATGGGAATTCAATTTTATATGGACGTGTGGCTAAAAAATGCTATTTATCATGCGAAAGATTCTCCAGGGTGCATTCTATGTTGATCCTACGCCGGACACTTTTTTTTGGCACTCATAAATTACGCCAAGTCTTGTGGACTTAAAAAAGGGTGCTTCTAGCAGCACGCCAACAGCCAACGTTTCTGGTCGAATATTTTTGGTGACCCTCTTTTTGAGAATCGTATAATAAAGGTTTGAGAGGAATGACAAGAGAACTACAACAAGATTTTCACTTAAAATTTCATAAATTAACGAAAACGATTTAAAGAATAGTTAGCTATATAAAAAATTAAAAGAACAAAACCTGGATTTCAAACAATTAATTTCAAAGATTTGGCAATACATTCATGCACAAACATATCTCACAGAGAAACAAAACAGTTGAGTTAATGAAATATAAGATATTAGTACGTAGCTTATTCATACCAGAGTACCTTTCAATTATCAGACAGGAAAGGACAACGGCCTTTATCACTGTCAATACGATCAATTACCTTTGATACAACATAATCCTTATTTCTACTGGAAAAAAACGTGTTCTGTCGGTGCGGCCGCAATTTATCATCTCCCTGAATGTAAGTTTTAATCCCATCCTTGATAATATTTTTGCAGTTTTGAAGTGACGGCAAGGCCCATTGCAGCTTCGTTCTTCTAGCCAGTGTTTCGTTCGATTGCCCTCCTGACCGTTGTTGCGATCTCATTGAGCTGTAAAAGCTTTCAGCTATTGCTTCAGGCCCTCCCTTAGCCAAAAGAATGTCAATTAGAGCGCAAGATGGCTTACTTGCAATGTGACAGATTTCTTCGTTGTTGTAAAATGATTGGTACATTCGCTGTTCATGTAAGCGCACTTTCATAACTTTTCCATTTGAAAATACCATTTTGAACTGACAATCTAATGTATTGCTTTCTTCTTCTTCAAACTCTTCAAGTGTTGCATTTTGAGTATGTAAATTAACATTATTTTGGCTTATAATAAACCATTCTGGGCACTTGTCATTCCAGATGCCTGCTTTAACAGCGTTTTTTATTCTGGACATGTAAAGATACGCCATTCTTGAATCGAAATTCATCCCTGATTCCTTCACATGTTTTAGCTCGCTAATCGTTGTTAATATGCGCTTACATTCTTCCACTCCATATACTTCATACTCACCTTCATCTACAAAATATTTTATTTCTTTATTAACTCTTTTTCCACAGTGAAGCTTAACAAGATTCGCCGCATCAAATACTTCAAATGTTGATGGTGATTTTTCAGCAAGCGATTCAATTCTAATATTCAAAGCTTCACATAGCTCTTTGGCCAAATTCTTGCGATCTTCTTCGATATCTTTACTGTCACGCAAATGCCACGTAAAGCGAGAATTTCCATCTGCATTTTTTCCATTATCTTTCGTTATGAGCCAACCTTGAAGTAATTCAACTCCTTTGAATTTTAAGCCAGGTATCAAAGAGTGTTCGACTTTTGACAGTCTAGGAAAGACCAGGGGGTTCCCTTTTACAGCTTTTAGCAGATTTTCTCTGACTTTAGGCCACCACATTTGTAGCTTCCAGATTGGAGTGTCAAGTGATTGGGCTCTCAGCATCAGATCAATAATAGGATCCATGATATCCAAAAAGGATAAAAGATCTGCCACAAAATCACTTCCAGCAATCATGTATTGCCACTCTTCGTCTTCATCCCTCCGTGGATGTAACAATTCAAATGCCTGCCAGTACGATTGGTAGCTCTGTTCAATTTTGAGCCACTGCTCATACGATGAACTCATGAAACGCTGAGTAGCATATGACACAGGTCGTCTCGCAGTACTGTCCACCATCTGCAAAAAGGCAAACCCCTTTCCATTTGCCAAAACATGATTGAACACATTACATCTCTTGATAAATCTACGGAAATGTTCTCCACCAGGTGAGTTAGCATCTCTTACTTCGGTAACAGCAAGGTTTAAAACATGGGCTGTATCCCACGTTATGGGGAGAGCGATCACTTTGTCTACATGCTCTGGGATCTCCAGTTGCCGAAAAAGTGAACTTCTGAATCCAGAAGCCTGATAAGGGCCATCAGCTGCCACACCACAAAGCCTTTCCAGAATTTGGGGGGAGAAATTATCAGAAATTGCTTCCAGAAGTTTTAATGCCAATATATCATATGAGGCTTCGGTAAATTCTGTATAAATGGCAGGAGCTGCAACAGGTATTGGGGAGGGTATCCCATTCTTATCTCTGGCGACAACCAATACTGCTTGGTTTGTTGTTCTGGCTGGTGTAGCTTTATCAATGGTAACCCAAAAGTGTGGAGGAAGGAATGTTGATGGGAGTGGCTGATTAAGGAATTCTGCCGTCTTCTTGTTCATCGACTTTTCCAGGCAGTACAGTATGTCATTAAACAGATTCCTGCCATGCCCAATGTTTCCAACATTTACAGAGCAATTTGCGAGTAAAGACACTAACACTTCAAAGTTTCTTGCTGCTGCACCAAGTTTCAAATCCACTATAGCCGCTTTAAATAAATGTGTTGCAGTTGTTGCATTTTCATTATTGGATTTCAAAGCCTGCTTGTATGCTTCCATGGCAATTTTATGTGTCTCTGAGCCGTTTCCTATGATACACATGTGGTCAATTAGCATATTTTTTTCCCGGTACCAAGTCCTATTATGACCTTTGATTAACAGACTCGCGAATTCCTTTTTCAAGAAAATTCCAGTTGCAAATGTTCCACTGCTTCTTGGATTAAGGATTCGCTGTGCTTGTAATGGAGTTAAATCGGCTAATGTTGGCTTAGCTTTCAGATGAAGCTCATAACATGGCAAACATCTCAGAACTGCACAACCACTTTTCTCATCATAGAACCACTGAATTGGCTTTGATGCCTCAACTAATTCATTGATATTGTTGGCTTTCTTCATTGCAGCAACTTGCCTTCCAGTCTCTGGGTCTTCAAAAACAAGCTGCTGTAAGCTTCTGTGCTTTGCTCCAATATCATCCACCTTTAAACTTAATTTATTTATCTCAGTCATAATGGCATCCATGTCTACGGTGCTGTTCTTCTTTGTTGCATCTAATTTTTCAGTTCTAAAAGATAAAAGTGTACTTTGAGTGTCCATTCCAGATATTTCTATCCCATCCAATGTTTCTTTGTCACTTGATTCTGTCATCAACTGAGGCTCGTTGCTGCATGCTTCCAGGGGTTCCAGGGGCTCTATGGGTGATAGGGCCTCCATGAATTTATTTTCCTCACTTTCAGTATTTGATTCAAGTTCATCAAGGTATTCTTCGTAGCTTGGCGTAGCTAATTCTAGATTGTTTTTGCCTTGAGCTGCTGCAGTGCTATGTACCGGGTCTATTGAAATAATCTGTGATGAAGTTGTACTGGTGTTTCTTTCTTCAGGTGTAGTGACTTCTGATACGTTCTGTTTTGCATATTTTAACTTCAATGAACTCACTTCTTTTGCAGCTGTTGGAACAATTGTGCATAACTTCGATCCAGGA